CAGCCTAAGGCACACCTGTGCAATAATCATGCTGTCTAATCAGCATCTTGATATGCCACACCTGTGAGGTAGATGGATTATCTCGGCAAAGGAGAAGTGCTCACTAACACAGATTTAGACAGATTTGTGAACAATATTTGAGAGAAATAGGCCTTTTGTGTACATAGAAAACGTCTTAGATCTTTGAGTTCAGCTCATGAAAAATGGGGGCAAAAACAAAAGTGTTGCGCTTATAATTTTGTTCAGTGTATAAGGCAGAATGCATGTTTTTTTTATATGTGTGGTTTCAGTTCCTTTTTTTTTTGTAAATTTAAGAGTAAATTTTAGAATGAAAGTTTAAGGTGAATCATGATTTGTTGGTGAACATGTTTGTATGTAAACTTCACTCACAAATTTGTGCGTACGCATGCTTACAGAATGAGACCCAATGTGTCTTTTTGTTTCTGAAATCGATTTTGGTATACCTTCGCCAGATCTTCTCTCCCAGGTGAATGCTTTTATAATGGACAGTCAGGTGATCAGCACGTCGGAAGCATTTTCCACACTCTTCACACTGGTGTGCTCTCTCCCCTACACACACACACACACACAAATGTTACAAGACTTCTTATACAGTACATGCACTTTAATGCACTTTTTGAACACATTAAGCAGTCATGAGAAGGATGAAGCATCTCATATGGAGAGTCTAATACTGAACTATTAACAACTCTCTAGGTGGATTTTACAGTTTTTTTGCCTTAAAGGGATAGTCCACTCAAAAATGAAAATTTTAGTAACCGAAAATTTTAGTAACCAAAGTTTTGGTCCACATTGACTATTTTTGACCAGACAATGGAAACCTGTTTGGTTACCAACATTCTTCAAAGTGTATTTTTTTCATACAGGTTTTGAACGACATAAGGGTGAGCAACCCGAATTTTCACTTTTGGGTAAACTATCTTTTTAAAGGGGTCATGAACTGCCTTTTTTATTATTTTGTACTGTTCTCTGAGGTCCACTGATAATGTTATTAAATTGTGCATCAAAAAACATCATAATTTAGAAGTATTAGGCAATTTTCTGCTGTTGAACGCTCTGTTTGATTAGGCGTGGCAGATTGTCGACTCGGAAGTAAACGCCCACTGCTATGATTGGCTAACAGCTGTGTGTTTGACAGCTACATCCTTCACAGATGGACACTGCTGTGATTTAGGTTAAAAACGCATAAATACTCAGCACATATAAACGATCTGTAATAACAGACAAAAGCAATAGTGACCATGTAATAAAAACAGTTACTCACACTTGTGTGGTGCGGCATTACGAATCAGTGGGCGGGACTAAACAGGAAGTGCTGTAGAAGCAGGCGTTGATCATCTTCTCCGGAGGCGGGGTTTAGCCACACTATTACATCATAAAGTGGCACATTCCACAAGCTGTCGTTTTTTCGCAGATTGGCTTCAATATAAGCTGATTTTAGACTAACGAGTACAGTGCCTCTTATATGTCAAAAGATCAAGAGGATTTTGATTTCTCAGTTCATGACCCCTTTAAATCTAAATTTTAAAAGCTAGTCCTCCATATAGACATTTAAAGCATAACAGAAGCACTCCTGACATGATGGCTGTCCAACAGTTATGCTACCTTGAATTAACTTGGCATATGATATAGCATGTTAAAATGTATTTCATTTATTCATAATGTATATATGGGTTTTCTGAGACGACAAACAAAAATGCAACTTGAATTTGAATCTGAAAAATACCTGTGTGAATTTTTTTGTGTTTCTTTAGATGATCGTGGCGGATGAACGTTTTGCCACATTCGTCACATTCATAGCGCTTGTCCTCATGATGAACGCGAAGGTGAAGCCTGAAACAAAACAGCAACAGTAATAAACAACACTATCGCATGTCATGTTCTGTCCCATTACTTTTAATCTTGTTCAAATGTTTGGGGTTAGTACTTTTTTTTTTAGAAAGAATAATACTTATATTGATCAAGACAGCATTAAATTAAACTAAACATTTATGTTGTTACAAAACGTTTCTATTTCAAATGAATGCGGTTGTTTCCACACACACACACACACACACACACACAAAAAATTAGCAGGAAAAAACGTTTTCAACATTGATAATAATAAGAACCAGTATTAGTAATTGAGCACCAAATGATTTCTGAAGGATCATGTGACACTGAAGACTGAAAATTCAGCTTTGCATTACAAATTACATTTTAAAATACAGTATATTCAAATAGTAAACGGTTATTTTAAGTTGTATTAATGTTTACAATATTACAGTTTTTACTGTATTTTTGATCAAATAAATGCAGCGTTGGTGAGCAGAAGAGATTTTCAAAAACAAAAAGATCCTGAACTTTTGAATGGTAATGTATTTCAAGGAAAACACAACTAGTAAAGATGTGTATATTCCTGATTTAAGTTTTATATGTTGCTTGCTTAACTATTCATCTGTACATATTCTCTCAGATCATGTTTCATCTTAAAGGGTTAGTTCACCCAAAAATGAAAATTCTGTCATTAATTACTCACCCTTGTGTTGTTCCAAACCCGTAAGAAATCCATGATAGCGTTTCCACAGCTTTCCAAAAGAGGACAAATATAGACTAATTTAATATGGCAGTCAGAACAGAAAGAGACATCAAATTTAAGTAATATAATGTAATATAGTAAGTAAAGTAATATAACGCACAGTACGGTATAACAATTGTGTATTAAATCAAAAATATAAAATAAAATATACAAAAACTTTAGATTTACTAAATTTAAAATGTTAATAACTGTGGAAAGGCATAATCACAGTTTGTGAAAATGTTCCATTTATTAATTTAGTAGACGCAGAGTACATAAATGCCATCTCTTAAAGGGAAAGTTCACCTAAAAATAAACATTCTGTCATCATTTACTCGTCCTCATGTCATTACAAACCAAAACAAACCACACAAAACAGTTTTGGTTCCCAATGACTTCTAGTGTATGGTCAAAAAATATAATGGAAGAAAGGAAACAAATTGTTTGGCTACCAACATTCTTTAAAAAAATTTCTTTTGTGTTCTACAAAGTAATACTCACTCCAAAGATGGTATGATCCTGACATTGCTTTAACTTGACAGAAAACCAAAATGATATTTTACACGGGGGAAAAGCCTATTTTAAAGACCGTGTTTTCATATGTTGTACTTTTAAGTTTTTTTTAAATGCTGATTATCTCATTGATGATTATTAAAGTTGGGGGCGCACTGCATTCCCTTCACATCTGGTGAGGCTGTCTACACTGCCATGAAACTTCTTGATAACATTATGTACAGAACAAGGAACATCAGGTTCTCTGGAGATGTGCTTGTAGCCTTGAGAGTGTCCATGCCTGGCTATAATGTTGTGTCTGACCGCCTCAGATAATTCTTAGCTTTTCTTTCTTTTGTCGATGCTCACTGCAGTACACGTAATGTCACAAAACAGGAGAATGAGACACTTTCTCTATTCAAACTGGCTCATCACATATATGTGATTGGAAATGGAGCAGGAGAATTTAATCACTTGCTTTGCTTGAAATGGAAATATTTGTAACTAGTTTGCCAGTATCTTATAAATTTAAGTATACATTTTTTGCATCATACTATTGAGAAACAAGCTAATGAAATTAACGTTGCAATGCAAAAGCAATCTTAATCAATAAAATAGGCTCGATTTTCTAAATGCAAAATGACATTTTCATATTTCTTTCTTTTCTGTGTGGAATATGAGCTGGATATGTTCTGGACAGGTTTAGTTGAATCCTCACTCACCTCTTGACATGTCTGCTGAGAGTCTTCTTGCTGGCATGAAGCTTGTTGCAGAAGGGACACTTGTGCTCTTTCCTCTTCACGGGCGAATCACTGTCATGTTTCTTCTTGTGCACAGTGAGGTTTGATTTGGTGGAGTAGCACTGGAAACAGATGTCACACTGGAAAGGTTTTTCTCCCGTGTGTACTCTGGTGTGACTCTCATATTTACCTACAAAATGAGGAAAAAGCAAAGCAATGACTCAGACAGAGACAACTGTAACTGTACAAACTCTTGATAAATGCCATTACGGCCACAATAAAAAAAAACAGCATTTATTTCATTTTTTTGTAAGAAATAATAATAAAAGTTTAAGCCAAACTGCTTAATAAAGTTTTCTTTTCAGCAATGTAATTATTTTAAAGGTGTTTCCTTCCTTATGATTTCAGGACAGATGCAACACGACATTTTTGACCTTATGCCCCAAAAATATCAAAATTAATTTTAACACAGAAATAAAAACATGCTCATCGTTGAACAGGTGTATTCAGGTCTTAGCATGTATGTTCAAATGCTTGGGGACAGTAAGATTTTTTTGTTTGTTTTTTGGAAAAAACCGTTACACATTAAATTATTTAAAATTAAGTTTGATTAAATTAAGTTTATATCATTGTTACAAAATATTTCTATTTCAAATAAATGCTGTTCTTTTAAACTTTCCTTTTATCAAAAACTCATGAAAAAATATCATGGGTTTGGCAAAAATATTAAGCAGCACAACTATTTTCACCATAGATAATAATAATAAATATTTCTTGAGCAGCAAATCAGCATATTAGAATGATTTCTGAAGGATCATGTGACACTGAAGACTGGAGTAATGATGCTGCAAATCCACAGAAATAAATTGTATTTAAAAAAAAAAAATTAAATAGTTTTTACTGTATTTTTGATCAAATAAATGCTGCCCTGGTGAGCACAAGAGACTTTTCGAAAACATTGAAAAATTGACCCCAGACTTTTGGTAGTGTATGAACTTCATTATTAATATACTTTTTAATAAATAAACAAATAAGACAAAATGCTGGTCGTGTAACTGATCCATCCGTCAGCCTTCACATTATAGCTCTCACCTATGCGATCAAAGGTCTTGTCACATTTGGGACACTTGAGAGTCTTCTTGTTAGCGCTCTGGATCATAACGGGAGCCAGTCCTTCTGGAAACACGTGAGCGGTGAGCTCCGTGGCTTGGCTGTGCTCCTCAACAGCACGGCTGGATGTCGGTTCGGCCTCCTTCTGGGCTTCAGCCTGCTCTACAGCCTCATGTTCCTCCTCTTGCTTCTCACCGTCTTCACATTCTACCTCCTCGACCATTTCCTCTCGCCCCTCTTTACTACTTTGCTCATACTGTTGCTCTTCCTCACTTTCCTCCTCCTCAAAAGCGGCGGCATCATGCGTTGGAGTTTTTTGACCAGATTTTCCAGCCAGGACCTGGCCATTTTCGCTCTCGAATTTAGCAGGGGTCCTCCTCTGACGGGCCGATCTGCGGGTAGTGACCGCAGATGTGCTTGCCATGTTTTGCTCGTCCTCAACTTGGCAGCCAGCGCTGTGCGACTTAGCCAGGTGATTCTCCAGAGACTTCTTGTAGCAGAAGGTACGACTGCAAAAAGAGCATTGAGCTCCTGCTGAAGCCTGGACATCTGGAGTCTCCAGTGGAACCTGCTGAACATCACTTTCTTCATCAGCATGAGCTGGTGTCGCCCGCTTCGCTAAAAGATTTACAGCTTCCATCATCTCCAGAAAACAGGCAGCCTCGGCCAAAGCAGGAATCTGGCTTTCTGAAACGTCAAATTCAGACGTGTACAGGAAGTTGAGCAAATGTCCAAAGATGGAGACCTCGATGTTATCAATGGTAACATGGTGCAGTTCAGCGTTTTCGCTGAATTTGGCATGAAAATAGCCACTGCCAAAAGCCAAAACCACCTTGTGGGCACGATACATCTGGCCACAGACCGTGAGAGTTATGTCACAGAACGATGGCAGCTTCTGCCGGTCTTCGTTCAAGAACTTCAAGAAACAGCCATCAGTTTGGGATATTATCAGATGCCTCTTTTCCTGTGAGGAATCTTTAATGGCCACATCCGCATCGCTGCTAGCATCAGATGCTGTTTCTTTGCTGCTGATATCTTTCACTTTTGTCTGCTGAGGTGCATTGACTTTCTTCTTCATGTTTAGGGTTTCCAACACAAAGATTCCACTGAAAAAGAGTCATACATGTTTATACAAACATTGATGCACGATATATCGGCCACCATATCGGTATCGGCCGATAAATGCTAATTTTTTCTGTAATCGGTATCGGCCCGATAAGAAAATTTGGCCGATATCTTAAAACCGATAAATAATGCATTATTTCCTTCAGAGACACTTCAGATGCACGCTGTTCGTTTGTAGCCTTTTGTGCAATTGTACGTTGTAATATTGTGTTTATTTGATATATATCTGATTTATCTCATATAGAATGCGTTTGGTTAAGTTAAAAGAGCGCTTCAGTTTACCTGTGATCATCTCTAGCTCAGCGCATGCAGCTCAAACAGCAGTGCACAACATTAATAACTATGATTGGGAATGTCGTGTATATAACATTCTAATGAGAACATTATTATAATAAAACGTTGTGAATTTTTTTGTTGCTTATGTTGAAGTGTTTGGGATGTGGCTTTTAATGATGAGACCTTTTTTGTAATCAGGCTCTCAAAAAGTATGTAAAAATTTGGATATAGATTTATCGGCCAACATATCGGTTATCGGCTTTCAAAAATAAAGAATTATCGGTTATCGGTATATGCCAAAATTGTCATATCGGTGCATCCCTAATGAACAGTGTTTTTGCATCAGTCTGTTCAACATGTTATTGTATTATGTTTGAGTACACGCTCCTGCTTCTTCTATTGCGGAGTCTTTGATTATGTTTTCATTTTTAACCATTATGTGAACACTGTTAAATAAAAATGTGTGCTGTCATGTAATTTATTGTAAATATCGATAAATCTAGTCATTCCACCGCTTTAAGAATGAATTGAGAGTACATAGTGGTTTCACGCCGTCTACTGTCTCCATCTACTGAAGGAAATCTGATGGAGTTGAGTTTACAGTGCTGACAAAACCATATTTTGCATCTCATTTGTATTTCATTGCCATTTTGTGGTTTTACTACTAATACAACTTTCTTAAATAAGGCAAATTATCTAAAAATCCCAAAGAATTTTTGAAGAACAGACTCTGATATCATCTTTTTTTTTTTTCCTATGTATCTGATGCCGCTGACAAAAAGTAGGGACACTGCTGAGAAACTTAAGATATATACACACACACACATATATATATATATAAATAAGTTTAATCAAGATATAGTACACATTTTTATTTTAAAAAGTACATATTATTATTATTTTGTTAACTTTAACATACATTATAATGAAAATATAACGTCAAAACTTTGAAAAAGTAAAGTGTAAATACAAATAAATGTCACATTTGTGTTAAGTACATCCGAATGGATTCTGGTTCATTTTAAAGTCGAAATGTTGCTTTACAAAACGATCAAAACAATAATCAAATACTGGCTTAAACTAAGACTAACTTATTTATTTATATCGATCATGCATTTACCAGCTCGGTCTTATTGTGTCACCCGCATGAACTGATCTGTGGAGTCAGTGACATGCAGCCTGTAACTTCACACAGAGAGAAGAACTGACAGTCCCATATACGATTACATCTGGCTTGCAGTTTTGAACTGGGTCGAGGAGAATGGCACAACGAAATAAACGCATTCAAACACACGATTCCAAAATCCAGCGCCGTGCGAAAAAGGACAATGCAACGCTGAAGTAAACTAACGTTACCCCTTACGGCCCCCCCATTATGTCATGCGCCCACAGGGCCCCTCCAGAACAGGAGTGCGTTGACAAACGACCACAAAATGGCCCGTGGCGAACTGCAAATAGTGACTTATTTTCCAGTTCCAGTCTTACCTTTGAGAATAAACATGCGGTGGTGTTTTGAACAGGTCACTTATTTTGCCTTTGTATACAAATAACAAAACACAGTTGTTTTTCGGATTATAAGACGCTCGTTATCTTGTGGCATACTTATGGATTACATTAGAAATGTGCATGTTCATCATCAGTGAACAAACTGAGCATATTCTGCAGCTAGCTAGTTGGACCCACACCAACAAACTTGACATTGTAAATACATGATGTTTAATATTTAAAAAAAGTTTTTAAGAAGAACATACCACATACTATGAAATTATTGTTGATTGTTTTAAACATTTCACTCAAATTGATATGATCAAAAACATATGCAATTGAAAAAAAACTGATTTCGTGATTTATTCATCCTCATGTCATTCCAAACCAGCATGACTTCTTCCTTTTGTAGAACACGAAAGATGATAGTTTGAAAAATGTCTCAATGTTTTTGTCCATACAATGAAAGTCAGTAGAGTCTGGTGTTATTTTGGTCCTCACTGACTTTCATTGCATGGACAAAAAATTTGCAGTTTTTGTGTGTGTGTGTGTGTGTTCCACAAAAGAAAGTAATACAGGTTTGGAATGACACGAGGATGAGTAAATGACAGAATTTTCATTTTTGAGTGAATGTGATCTCTTAGACAGATATAAAGTTAAAGGGTTAGTTCGCTCAAAAATGAAAATTCTGTCATTAATTACTCACCCTAAACCTGTAGGACCTTCGTTCATCTTCGGAACACAATTTAAGATATTTTTGATGAAATCCAAGAGCTTTCTGACCCTGCATAGACAGCAACGCAACTACCACGTTAAAGGCCCAGAAACGTAGTCCATGTGACATCAGTGGTTCAACCATAATTTATGAAGCTACGAGAATACTTTTTGTGCACAAAGACAACAAAAATAGAGATTTTTTAAAACAATTTCTTCTCTTCCGTGTCAGTCTTCGATGCGTGTTCACGACAGTACCACGACGCATGCGTGTGCATTCCTCTGCTTGTAAACAAGACGCAGCACATGCTTTTTCTACGTCAGAACGCCGGCTCCTGCATCAGCAGCACCACACACAAGCGTCATGGTTCTGTTGTGAAAGTGTGGCGAAGACTGACACAGAAGAGAAGAAATTGTTGAAAAAAGTCGCTATTTTTGTTTTCTGTGCGCACAAAAAGTATTCTCGTAACTTAATAGAATAAAGGTTGAACAACTGAAGTTACATGGACTATTTTAACAATTTTAACTATTTCTACCTTTCTGGGCCTGGGAACGTTTTAGTTGCATTGCTGTCTATGCAGTGTCAGAAAGCTCTCGGATTTCACCAAAAATACCTTAATTTGTGTTATGATGATGAATGAAGGTCTTACAAGTTTGAAAAGACATGAGGGTGAGTAATTAATGACAGAATTTTCATTTTTTTGGTGAACTATCCCTTTAACTAATATTTGTCAGTGAGGTTCATAACACTGTAAAAAGTCTTGAAACTTGTGTCTTCTCTGCCTCAGGAGTCCGCAGTGAGGAGAATATTAATGGTTGTGATATGAACCCGTGCATGAACGGTGGCGTGTGTGAAAATCAGGATGGACAATACAAATGTCACTGTTCCCAAATGAGCTATAATGGACACCTCTATGGAGGGCCATACTGCACGGTAATCCTGCTCGGCTGTGAACGTCACTGGTGCCAGAACGGTGCCACTTGCTATCCGTACCTGGACAAAGGACGGCATCGATACAGCTGCATCTGCCCTGAGGGTTTCACTGGAACAAAATGCCAGACGTCCACCGCCTTCTCCTTTGAAGAAAGTGGATTCATGCAGGTCCAAACCAAACTCACTAAAGCTTTCGAACCTTTGAATGTCACTCTGAGTTTCCGCACGTTGCAGGCAGCGGCCACTCTGCTCCAGTGCCATGTTGAAGATCAGTTTCTTATGCTGGAGTTAGTGAATGGAAGAGTACGGCATACATTGCAGCGAGCCCAGGACACTGAAAGCGTTTTTCTAGAGCTTCCGCCGATGGTCTCTGATGGCCACTGGCACACGGTCAAGGCCTCGCTGCGCAACAACATGCTCGGGCTGAGTCTTACAGACCCTTCTTGCCTTGAGGACATGTGTCATATGGAAGTACAGATTGATCGAGCAGAGCCCGAACTGGGTTCAGGTCTGTCTGAGTTAACTGTGATCCAGAATCTCTATATAGGTGGAAGAGGAGAGAATGAGACTGCTTCAGGCCTTTTGGGATGTATGAGGGATGTGTGGTTGGATTCACGCATCGTGGTGCCCGGACTGGGGCTGAGGAGTCCTGCTAAGCAACTTAATGTGAAACAGGGCTGCAGTGACTGGGACCGCTGCAAGGAAAACCCATGCCAGAACAGAGGCAGATGTGTTAAGACTGGATGGAGAAGCTTTAGCTGCGAATGTCATCGGCCTTATGAGGGCGAGCACTGTTTAGATGGTATGATTGCTCTTACATTATACTACTTGGGTTAGTTTGCATATAGAATGAACAGAATTATGGATTTAGACCCTTAAAGGGATAGCTCCAAAAATACCTTAATTTGTGTTATGATGATGAATGAAGGTCTTACAAGTTTGAAAAGACATGAGGGTGAGTAATTAATGACAGAATTTTCATTTTTTTGGTGAACTATCCCTTTAACTAATATTTGTCAGTGAGGTTCATAACACTGTAAAAAGTCTTGAAACTTGTGTCTTCTCTGCCTCAGGAGTCCGCAGTGAGGAGAATATTAATGGTTGTGATATGAACCCGTGCATGAACGGTGGCGTGTGCGAAAATCAGGATGGACAATACAAATGTCACTGTTCCCAAATGAGCTATAATGGACACCTCTATGGAGGGCCATACTGCACGGTAATCCTGCTCGGCTGTGAACGTCACTGGTGCCAGAACGGTGCCACTTGCTATCCGTACCTGGACAAAGGACGGCATCGATACAGCTGCATCTGCCCTGAGGGTTTCACTGGAACAAAATGCCAGACGTCCACCGCCTTCTCCTTTGAAGAAAGTGGATTCATGCAGGTCCAAACCAAACTCACTAAAGCTTTCGAACCTTTGAATGTCACTCTGAGTTTCCGCACGTTGCAGGCAGCGGCCACTCTGCTCCAGTGCCATGTTGAAGATCAGTTTCTTATGCTGGAGTTAGTGAATGGAAGAGTACGGCATACATTGCAGCGAGCCCAGGACACTGAAAGCGTTTTTCTAGAGCTTCCGCCGATGGTCTCTGATGGCCACTGGCACACGGTCAAGGCCTCGCTGCGCAACAACATGCTCGGGCTGAGTCTTACAGACCCTTCTTGCCTTGAGGACATGTGTCATATGGAAGTACAGATTGATCGAGCAGAGCCCGAACTGGGTTCAGGTCTGTCTGAGTTAACTGTGATCCAGAATCTCTACATAGGTGGAAGAGGAGAGAATGAGACTGCTTCAGGCCTTTTGGGATGTATGAGGGATGTGTGGTTGGATTCACGCATCGTGGTGCCCGGACTGGGGCTGAGGAGTCCTGCTAAGCAACTTAATGTGAAACAGGGCTGCAGTGACTGGGACCGCTGCAAGGAAAACCCATGCCAGAACAGAGGCAGATGTGTTAAGACTGGATGGAGAAGCTTTAGCTGCGAATGTCATCGGCCTTATGAGGGCGAGCACTGTTTAGATGGTATGATTGCTCTTACATTATACTACTTGGGTTAGTTTGCATATAGAATGAACAGAATTATGGATTTAGACCCTTAAAGGGATAGCTCATCCAAAAATAAAAATTCTGACATCCTTTACTCAACCTCAAGTGGTTCCAAAACTGTATGGGTTTCTTTCTTCTGTTGAACACAAAATAAAATTTTTTAAAGAATGTCGGTAACTGAACAATTGCTGGTAGCCATTGACTTCCATAGTATTTTTTAGAAACTATCTCTTTAAGTCACATTCAAAAATGTCTGAATGCCATTGCAGTAGATTCAAAATATCAAACCAAGTGTCATCTGCAAACAAATTCCAATACCTTTAAAACAAAATGTTCTAAAGGGGTTTTCACAGTGATGCCATAGAAGAACCATTTTTGGTTCCCCAAAGAACCTTTCAGTGAACAATTCTTAAACTAACATTTTTTTCTTAGTGTGAAGAACATTTTATTTTCTAAAGAACTCCTTTTCCACTGTAAAGAACCTTTTGTCCAATAGAAAGATTCCATGGAACCGCAGATGTAAAAAGAGTGTAAAAATACAGAAATATAACATCGCTTTTTGAGCCATTTTGCAGTGGCTTTTTCAGTGTCGCAATGATTTTTGGTAGATATGAAGATGCTCTCCTCAAGTTCACACAGGTGTCCTAACAGAGCAACTGCACCTGTAGTTCATCACATTAACTGAACTTGATCCACTAAGGTTTGACAACCTGAAAATGTCCAAAGCCTTCTTTATATAGAAAAATATATCTATTGGGTTATCATTTAAAACAACACAAACTTCTTCATGACATCTTGTGCTTGAGAGGTCTGCTTTTTCTTTCTTTTTTTTAATTTTACTATTTAAAGTAGCCTATTTCTGATTAAACCAAGATAGAATTTTAAATAATTTAGAATGAGCATTCATCTTTCCTGGTCGCCATTATCTCTACAACAATGTCATTGATAAAACTGCTTAGCGAGAATCTAAATGTAGTGCCCCTTAGAGGGTTAAATTTAGTGCAGAGACATACAATGAGATTAGAGTGCTAAAGAAAACAGGCATCCACAAACACCCAGACATACACTCACACAAAAGCAAACCGACTGCCAAGGGAGGGTTAAAACCAATCCCACCTGAACTGTGGCTTAAAGAAACGTGATGTTACACTCTAAAAAAATGCTGGGTTAAATACAACCCAGTGCTGGGTAAAATAGGGACAAACCCAGCAATTGGGTTGTTTTGACCCAGTGGTTGGGTTAAATGTTTAACCCAACCTTCTGGGTAGTAACCCAACAGCTGGGTCAAAACAACCCAATTGCTGGGTTTGTCCCTATTTTACCCAGCACTGGGTTGTATTTAACCCAGCATTTTTTAGAGTGTAACAGGCGTATTTAATCCATGCAGATCCTGTTAAGAAAGAAACCCCCAGTGATTTATTTGAGACGTATCTTATGTTCAGTGTCAGAGAGCAAAACAAATTCTGTTAGGAATGGGTGGACAACCCAGCATATTTATTGAATTATTATTATTACAATGGCATGTTATTGTATGCATTGTATTACATCAACAACAACAATAATAAAATAATATATATGTAATAAAACATATTATAATAATAATCATGATAATAATAAAACATTAAATTTTGTTATATTTGACTGTCACATTTTATTTAGATTTATTATTAATAATAATAATGATATTTGGAATAATATAAAAAATTCTAACTATATTTGGAAACATTCTATTTGGTTTGAAATTATTCTTATATGAATGAGAATTCACAATTCTGGAATAATAATGCTTGACTTGAACCAAAAAAATGGCGAAACTTTCTAAATATGTTGAATATCTTTGAATATATAATTAAAAAAATTATGAAAAATGTGATGAATTTCTATATATGAATTATTACATACTATTTTGTTTGATATTACTACTACACCGACTACTACTACTATTAATAATAGTAATAATAATAACTCCATATTTAGAAATATTCAATTTTGTTATATTTGACTTTGTCACATATTTTTTAAAATTGCACATATTTTGTTGTTGTTGTTGTTGTTGTTGTTATTGTTGTTGATAATACTATTCATAATATTCAAAATATTTATAATGCATATTATGTCTTTATTGTTGTAGTATATACATTTTTGTTGATTTAATAAGTAATTGTGTAAAAAGCAGAAAAATTATTGTATTGTATTGTACCTTTCTCTTACACTGCTGTTCACTTTGTATTATCAGAGTATGTAGCTGCAAGGTTTGGAAGTGAAGATCTGGAGAGCTATGCTGTGTTCACAGTGGAAGACGATCCAGGTGACAGTAACACCGTGTCCATGTTCGTCCGCACGCGCCGCTCACAGGGCTTGCTCCTGGTCCTCTCCAACACCACCAGTCAGTATCTGCGTGTCTGGTTAGAGGATGGAAAGGTCAAAGTTCAAATCAACAACTTTGAAAGCCTGCTAGGAACGGAAACAGTCAGTGATGGTCACTTTCATCTCATAACTGTGCTTGTGGAGCCAGAATCCCTGTCCCTGTTTATGTCTGCTAAGAGCCAAGGCCGCATCCCCATCCGCAGTGTGCTGGTCCAGGCTGGAGATGTGGTGTATGTGGGGGGTTTACCGGACCGCCGTGCATCGCTAGCCTTCGGCGGCTACTTTAAGGGCTGTGTCCAAGACCTCCGTATAAACAGCAGACGCCTGCAGTTCTACCCCGTCAGTGTCCCGGCGAGCTCCTACCGGCTCCAGAGCTTGATGAAAGTCACACGTGGCTGTACTGGCGACGACTCCTGCACTGTAAGCATTTACAGATCCATGAATATGGTACTGGTATAAAATGTTGTTCAGTTTGCATGTTATTCTGGCCAAGAAATGCCCAAATGACAGGAAAGGTTGGTCTGATTGACATAAAAAGTGCATCAGATATTCAGCAATTAGCACTCTATCAATTAAACTTTGCAATCACATTATCAGCAACAATATTTGTATGCTTGAATATTTCAATCTATTATGAATGATCTGATGAATAATCAAATATTATGAATGTTTACATCATTTACAATGTTCACAATTCTGGAATAATAATGCTTGACTTAAACCATACATTTTTTCCAATTTGCTAAACTTTCTAAATATGTTTAAAGAGGTCATATGATGCGATTTCAAGTTTTCCTTTCTCTTTGGAGTGTTACAAGCTGATTGTGCATAGATAAGATCCCTGAAGTTGCAAAGACTAAAGTCTCAAAACCAAAGAGATATTCTTTATCAAAGTTAAGACTCTGCCACGCCCCCCTAAAACGTCTCGCTCTAACACGCCCCCACATATCTACCTCACTATGTGGAAATATTAGCATAATGCCGCCCAAATGTTCACGCAAAGAAAGAAGGCGTGGTTTCAGTAACCGCAGTTAGTGTTGAAGCAGCATGTCAGGGAGACGCTGTGTGTTTCAGTGCGAAAGCAAAAGCACTTTAGCAAGTTGGGAATCTTTAAGATCACTTACAACAGAACAGCAATGCATTTTATGGACGACCGTTTCATGAACCTAGGAGAGGAGGTCATTCTGACTTTGCTATGACAATCTGGCGCTTCTGAATCAGCTACTGTTTTGTTATTAGTTTAAGTATTTGATATTGACTGTTCAAATGCGGAGTTTTGTGCATCGTGTGTGCGCGCGCGCGTGTGTGTGTGAGAGAGAGAGAGAGAGAGGGGGGTCACATCACAGTGATGTTTGAATATTTTGTCAACTTCAAATATTTTGTAAAAATTATAAATATTAATATATTATGAATGTTTACATCATTCACAATGTTCACAATTCTGGAATAATAATGCTCGACTTGAACCATACACTTTTTTCTAATTTGCTAAGCTTTCTAAATATGATTAATATGTTTGAATAATTTCTAAACTTCAAGAATTATGAAATATATTTTCATATATTGTATTGATTACATCATTCACAATGTTCACAATTCTGGAATAATAATGCTTGACTTAAACCATACATTTTTCCCCCCAATTTGCTAAACTTTCTAAATATGTTTAATATGTTTGAATATTTTGTAAACTTCAAATATTTTGTAAAAATTATAAATATGAATATATTATGAATGATTGCATCATTCACAATGTTCACAATTCTGGAATAATAATGCTTGACTTGAACCATACACTTTTTTCTAATTTGCTAAGCTTTCTAAATATAATTAATATGTTTGAATATTTTGTAAACTTCACAAATTATGAAAATATGATACATTTTCATATATTGCAAATGATTACATTATGCACAATGTTCACAATTCTGGAATAATAATGCTTGTCTTCATGAATCTTTCATGTTTACAATAAGAGTATGTACTGTGATTAGTGATTGTGAGTATCTGTTGTAGAATAATCCCTGCTTGCATGGAGGTGTGTGTTACTCCATGTGGGATGATTTCACGTGCAGCTGCCCACCCAATACAGCGGGACAGCGCTGTGAGGAGGTCAGGTGGTGTGAGCTGTCTCCATGTCCGTCCTCTGCCGTGTGTCAAGCCCACACTCAGGGCTTTGAATGTAAGTATGAACTTGTTGTCCTTATCCGAACTATGACCATTTTTCTAATTAAAAGCGGTAAAGAAAAGGTTGATTATGTCTAAGCAATGCATTAATGCATCTATGGTACCTATCCTCAGTTCAGTTATATAATTGATAATTGTCATGTGTAGCTATTCTGGGGATTTATGAAAGCCTTGAAAGATTATCCTTTGTTGGATTTGCCACGCCATGTGTGCTTGTCCTGGAGCATGTTAATGACATAACCATATGTTGCAGGGAAGAGATTGAATATGGTGTTCAGGGGTTACACTATATGCAAGTAAAAAGAAAATAAGGGTCTGTTTATTCATGCTTGCTGAAACAGGTAGCACCTGAGAGGATACAGTCTTTTTAACCTTGGAAGTCTACTGCAATGATTCTCAAACTTTTTAACTCCAAGGTCTACAGAAAGGCCCAATGACTTCTCTGATTTATCTAATTGGCTGAATAAGGATTAAAGATAAGGACTTTAAATTTGTTTTCAACTCACATCATTTGTACCCAATAAATATGCCCATTGAGTTATAAGATTTTATTAATTGACATATCTTTTCCAGATGTAAAAATCAGACTTTTAAAATGAGGTTTCCTCATATATTCAGTGTGAAAAAAACAACGTTGTTTGGAGTGTGAATGAAAATAGGAAATATCTTAATTTTTTGTTGTTTTAGCTCATTTTAAATAATTTTGAGTAATATTGAGGCCCTGTCCTGACCTTCTCAATATGACCTGGATGCCAGATAATTTGTTTTATTTATTTTAAGAGTTTGCACATCATCTGAGTAATAGTTTGCACGAAGTGACAATGTAACTTTAAGATGTTTCTAAGCCAAATAAACTGGAAAACAGGGACTGAGAGAAAGTCGAGACTCAATTATTCAATTTTAACTTGAGTCATATAGAAAAAAAAATTAAATAAAAATAAAATGTAACTAAAATAAAATAAAACAAACTTTATTTCAGCTAAATGCAACAGCAACATTTTTCATTTTAATTTAGTTTAACTTGTACTAATATAACTAAAACTAAAACAGAAATACAAAATGAATAGCTATGTACACACATTTAAAAAACACAAAAATATAAAACAAAATTACTGAAACTTTAAATACACAAAACATTGCCAAAAAAAGCAGTTTAATCCAATTTTAAAGTAAGTAAACTTTTACGTAAAAAAAAAAGTGTAAAACACTGTGAAGGCAAATAAGATGTGAAGTATCCGTATATGTAAAAGAGACTTTTGAATCAGCTAAGGATTTTGGGTTTATATATATAGAAAGAGCTATGACCAAAAAGATTATATATTTTTTTAATCTTCTATTTGTGAGTAGTATGCATGTTAGGTTTTTTTTTTTTAGAAAAAAATACTAGAGCTTACATTACTAGAGCACTGATGCGTTTTTCCTGACCACTTTGCAGGTTTGGTCAATGTTAGCCTCCGCAGCGACAGCCACATAATCACCTATCGTGGCAATGGAAAAATACAGCAATACCTCGGCAGCATTTCAATGCATTTCCGTACCAGGCAGCAGAATGCGACTCTACTGCATGCTGAGCGGGATTCTCAGTTCATTACCATTTCCATCCACGATGGACACGTGGTTTTAGAGCTGCAGGGAGAAAAACAAACTTCCTATGTATATATCCACAGCCTGGACCTGGTGAATGATGGTCAGTGGCACAAAGCAGACTTTAGCATGGACAGGCCAGTCCTCCAGTCATCCAGATGGAGAATAGTTGTGGACGAGCGCTGGGAGAAACCCTCCGTCTCCTTCACAGCCTCAGGAGATCTGGATTTCCTCCGAGAAGATGTGGACATCATCTTAGGGGGCTTGGGACCCGATTCGGAGGGTAACTTCGCTGGCTGTCTCGGTTTGGTGGAGATCGGAGGCCTTGCATTGCCACATTACAGTGAAGTGGAGATGAACCAGCCCAGACCCCAGGAAGAGCGGTTTCTGAGGACTTCTGGTACTCCCTACTTCGGCTGCTGGGGATCTAATGTCTGTGAGCCTGACCCTTGCCAAAATGAAGGGGTTTGTGAAGATCTGTTCAACCTTTTCAAATGCCATTGCCCATCTGATTGGGATGGCCAACGCTGTGAATTCACTGTAGATGATTGTGCATCAAACCCATGTGTTCACGGAGCCTGCAGAGCGATCTCATCTGGATACGAGTGCTCGTGTGATGCAGGCTACACCGGTCGGCGCTGTGAAACGGAGGTGGATGTATGCGCCCACCACAAGTGCAGCAATGGCGGAACATGCCTAAGAGGATTGAAACATTACTCATGTCTCTGTCCAAGAAGCACGACGGGTCCTTTCTGCAGGTGAATATGTTTCCTATGCTCACCACTGCAATGGATCTCGAGAGATGAAGTCTTCAGCAATGTCTTGAAATGCTGACATTCTTAGATGTGCATGCATGTAATGTTTCATTTCTGTTTCAGGGAGAGAGTTCCACAGCTTCCATGGTATATCAACAGGTTTCCGTGAGTCTGACTTCTTAAAATATATATTAATGATCAAACTGGGGGCTAGAAGGTGATTCTTGGAAGTCTCTAAAAAAAGCATAGTTACACGTTACATATAGTAATAAGTAAGGGATGTACATCCAACCAGTAGTTATTGCAGAATAAACCCTGACATGGTGATTGCATCCCCATTTCACATCAGTAAATAATTAAAGGGGTCATATGATGTTGCTAAAAAGAACATTATTTGGTGTAATGAAATGTGTTTATGCGGTTTAAGGTTAAAAAAACACATTATTTTCCACATACTGTACATTATTGTTTCTCCTCTATGCCCCGCCTTTCTGAAACGCGTCGATTTTTACAAAGCTCATTGTTCTGAAAAGCGAGGTGTGCTCTGATTGGCCAGCTATCCAGTGCCTTGTGATTGGCCGAATTCCTCAAGAGTGTGACGGAAATGTTACGCCCCTCACCATACTGTGATGCCCTGTCAGGCCGGAGCGTAACATAAAACCATGTCTGCATTTGTGATCGGAGAAATGACAAACAACAAATGCTACTCAATGCTGCCCAAAAAACTCGCGTTTGAGTCGTCAGTGGCAAATTCTTTAAATATAAAAAACGTACTTACAGTCTGTGAGTCAGAACAGCCGGCATTGTAGTCTACTCTACCAGGATCAGGAGTCAGTCCCCCATAAAATGTGCTGCACACATCTGAATATTTGGGTTGAACTGTTCAGGAACAGTGTTGTAAATACAACTTAACCACTGATTTCTAGTCGTGTCCAAACAAAGTAGTTTCGCTTTCACAATGAAAAAGCGTCCCACACCGCGGACTAGAGTGAGCGGCGGCGGGCGGGCTTGAGAATGGCGCGGCCGGCGCATTCGACGAAGGAGCGTCCGGCGAGCTTGCGGCAACCACATGTGACGACCCCGGGCTGGACTCCACGTTAGGCAAATCTTCCCACATAGTGATGTAGACATGTGGGGGCGTGTTAGAACGAGGCGTTTTAGGTAGGCGTGGCTGACTCTTAACTTTTATAAAGAATATCTCTTTGGATTTGAGACTTTAGTCTTTGCAACTTTACAGATCTTCTTTATGCACCAAGAGCTTGTAACACTCCAAAGAGAAAGGAAAAATTGAAATCGCATCATATGACCCTTTAAGACATGAAATATTTATTTAAATTGAAATATTTTATTAGTTCTTTAAATGCGAAGCTTCTGCAAAGAAAAAAGTCCTAACAAATGGCTTTGAGCATAGACCAACGATCAAGTTCAGACAAGACGGACATTCTCTATTAGAATCTTTCTTGCTTATATTGCAGTATCTTACTCATAAGCAAGAATACGTCTTTAAAAAGTGTTCTTCTTTTATCGCATTTTTCTCTAGATACCCTAAACTTCCTGTGTCTTTCTGCGGGAATGAGAGATGGAATTACAGTTGCTTCAATGGTGGGAATTGCTCTTCTGTAGAGCATAATTGTGACTGTCTACCTGGATTCACTGGACAGTGGTAAGAATATGAACCCACAGAGGTTACCACAGTGAATAGGTTGAAAATATTCAGAAATCATTCTAATATGCTGATTTGGTGCTCATGAAACATTTATTATTATCAGTGTTGAAAACAGTTGTGCTGCTTCATATTTTTGCGGAAGCTATGATTGTTTTGCAGGATTCTTTGATGAATAGAAAGCTCAATAGCAAGGCGTTTATTTGAAATAGAAATCTTAAGTAACATTATAAATGTCTTTATTGTCAATTAAATGAATAAAACGATTAATTTCTTTCAAAAAATAAACATTTTGAAGGGTAATGTATACTCACACACACACACACACACACATACAAATAAATATACTAAAAAAAGATATGATTAGCATAAAAATACCTAGCACACACAGATGTTGACTGTAATAGTCCATTTCACTTTAAGGACTATTTTATGTCCCATTCTGAATGAGTGCATTCAAAATTTGGCCAAAATGACCTTATGAATGATCTTAGTGGCTCTGTCTAAGCTAGCTATAGTAAAGCTATTATTATTTAAAATACTTGAATGAACACATAACTAGTCCTGCACTATTTGTACTAGTACAACAGACATGAATGACACTTCAAAGTGCAGCTCATCAAAGAGAAGTGTGCTATTAATAATCACTATTAGTGGCAGCTGATTTAATAAAGGGAAAAAACCCATAGACTTGTATAGAAGGAGGGAGCTACAAACTGTTTTCAGAAAATGTAATCATCTAGGTTTTCTGCCTACTTTTTGGAATGTGCCATGAGATGGCCTTCACTGGTCTTCTCTCCATCTAAATGACTGATTCTCTTTGACAGGTGCGAGCTGGAGCTGGATGAATGTGCATCTGACCCCTGCCTTAATGGAGGCTTCTGCCGCAATCTGATCAACAGGTTCCAGTGTGTGTGCGAGATGAGCTTTGCTGGTGATCACTGTCAGATCGACGTCAGCGACTTCTACGTCTATGTGTTCCTGCTCCTGTGGCAGAACATCTTCCAGCTGTTGTCATACCTGATTTTGCGTTTAGATGATGACCCAGCGGTTGAGTGGAACGCAGCCAATGATGACTAGGACTAAAAACAGTTTTTTCCCAGATGTGGGCTGATGGATACAATACGTGAAGGCCTTTAAATATCATTAAAGGTCATTATGGGAAGTAGCAAACCTTTTTTTTTTTTTTGGACAAAATGTAGATTAAGAAACATTCAGTGAGAATACCAATATGTGATTGGTTGTCTGCTAATGGAGCAGAGAAAATGAAGCATTTTAGAATAATACTGATATTTAAAGGGGTCATCCGATGCTACATGCACTTTTACAAGTTGTTTGAAATGAAATGTGTGTTGGCAGTGTGTGTACACAACCACCCTAAAATGATAAAAATCCACCCAGTGGTTTTTTGTTAACCTACTAAAATCTTTACCCCTTTCTCAAATCGAGCCGATCTCAGCCCCTCCCACGATAGTTTGATTGACAGTAGTGTTTCAGCACAGACTGGACTGGTGTCTTAAGCCCGTCGCTTTTGTCGCTGCAAGTCGCCAGGGGCTGGCGATGAGGTTGCTAGTGGGCGTTCTCAATATTGGTTGCCTTGACAGCGAGTCAGGTTTCTTGCCGCTAAGTACAAACATTTTGGAGGCAAAAGACTAAATATAATCTAAATCTAAATTAAATCCGTACATACAAACAAAAATGAATGAGAAACAGAGCCTACTTTCTTCCATTGCGTATGTTTATCTACGGCGCTGAGAGGAGAACGATCACATGAGCTCTACCGTCTTCTTTCCTATTGGCTGTCGCTCCCGAAAGTCGCTCTTCATTTGCATAAAGTTGAAGGATTCTGAACTTTGTCGCGTCGCTGGACATGCCCCATCCGGTCGCCAACGGCCGCTGTTGCTCACGTCGCCGGAAATCGCCAGCTCTCCATTGAAATGAATGGGATTGTGTCGCTTTGCTGTTGCGTGTTGCTTGTAGTGTGAACGGGGCTTTACCTTAGACCCGCGCTGAGTGAGCTGCCGGAGCAGATGTAGACAAGAATGACTCCTAAGTGATTGAGGTCTTCTGTTGTTGGCTGGAATAATGAACATAGCAGGCGTCATTTACTCCCGACATCTGAGCCGCTGAAGACGCACTGGATTATGTTTGTTTCTGAAGGGAACGCGCCCCCGATCTACATAAATGCGTCTATGTTCGCGCACATCATTCGTGATCCAGCTTCACCTCCAGAAGAAGTGAGTATAAGGTTTTTTTAACGAATCTTTGCAAATCGCCTTTCCTAATAATGTGCTAATTAGCAAGTTTCACGATGAATGCGGCTAAAGTAACCAGGCCCTCAGAGAGCGGCTCGGAAGAGAGGGGCGGGGTCAGCAGAGCTCATTAACATTTAAAGGAAAATGCTACAAAACGGCTTGCTCTGAAAAGAGCTGTTTTTGACAGGGTAAAAATGGTGTGTTTTACTCTACCGTTGAGAAATTTTAACCAAACTATGTTACAGACTTTTCATTAAGACCCTAAAGAATCATATCAACTTGTGGAAAATGGGCATCCTATGACCCCTTTAAAAAAATCTCAGATCTGTACACATTGTAGCATCTGCGAGTGAAAGGCTTTACGTGCGCCTTCCTTTTCCTCATAAATATCTATTTTTGAAAATGTTCTCAAAATGTTTCTCATAACATGTGCACACCACTAGAAGAAAATGTGGTTAATCATAATATGTATAAAGCCCAGTGTTATGAAATACTCTCATATTCTGATCATAAGGAAAGCATGGATTTGCACATCATTAAATGCTTTTTTCTTTTTTATTCTGGAGTCAATATTTAATCCTGGACTTTTATACCTAAGTGTTCAAATGACTGCTTCAGCTTTCCATTATTTTCCATTATCAAACCTATATAGCAGATGTCTTTTGCAAATCTATTGAACTATTCACAAAAATAAGAGCATCACCAATATTTTTGTAATAAATGCAACCAACAAACATGATCATATATTTCTAGCCAGCAGCTGTGAATATTTTTAGTTTTAGTTTTCATGAATTTGAGACTGACGGCATGTTTTCATACGTTAATGATGTTTTTGAGATTAGAATATCACAAATTAAAAGAGATTAAGTTCTTAAAATGAAATTATGGGGAAATATAGGCCATAAAATAGCATGCAACTCTTGATCAAATCAGGTTTGCAAGCATCCCTTATATTGTTGACCACTGTGCAGTAGTTGAACTGGATTTCCGCAATAGTCAGGCAAATAGAGTCACTTCAGAAAAACAAGTTTGTATGAAGTTATGTTTGCTTTGCATTGCTGGGTGTTCGATAAGCACTAGAAACAGCAAAACCATTTTTTAAACGTATAAAAGTAAGTGTTTGAAATCTGACAAACGCTTGCAAAAAAAGTTAGTCAAATCAAGGGCTTTTACTTTTCTGATTATATTTGTTGAAAATGCATGAACTCTTAGCAAGAAAACAAGCGGGAGGTTTTCATTCAGGCTCCATTCATGCTCGTTTTTTATCATCAAGGACGTGGTCAAAGTTTAAAAGCACCCCTGCTTCCCCAAAACAAACTTTATTTTGAACATCCACTCTCGTTTACTTTGGCACCCAAAGTTGGTTCATTGGAGTCATTTACGTAACAGAAGCCAGAATGTCTTTACATTGACCATGTGGTCAAGACTAAAGTACAGCATATATATACCCTCTGTCCGCATATTCTCTTCAGGATTTCAGGTTATTACTGTTCAGCATGCAGCTCTGCGCTACACTCACTGTTCTCGGGCTCCTGGTAATGGGGTCACGGGCGCAGGGGGTGATGCCCAGCATTAGCTTCCCTCCCTGCGATTCCCCGGAGGCTGAAGCAGCGGCTCTGGTGGCACAGGATTTCCTCAATGCTCAGCACACACACGGTTACAAATATGCCCTCAATCAAATTGACAAAATCAAGATCGTCTCCATGGTAAGATAACGGATGATCGTGAATAATGCTTGTGTGATGGTGGTTGTAACAGTCATGTGGTGTATGCAAATTAGTAACATTGGCTTTAAAAATGTAGATATGATATATGATTATTTCGTCCACTGAAATGGACGAAACGTAACATCCAGTTTATGGAATTTATACAGTATTTGTGATGTGCTTCTGAAAATGTACCATTGTGATCAAATTTGTTCTATAAACTAATGTTTTTATATCTACACAACTATTCAAAAAGGTTCTCTTTTACATAAATGTAGCAATCATAATATGTATAAAGCCCAGTGTTATGAAATACTCTCATATTCTGATCATAAGGAAAGCATGGATTTGCACATCATTAAATGCTTTTTTCTTTTTTATTCTGGAGTCAATATTTAATCCTGGACTTTTATACCTAAGTGTTCAAATGACTGCTTCAGCTTTCCATTATTTTCCATTATCAAACCTATATAGCAGATGTCTTTTGCAAATCTATTGAACTATTCACAAAAATAAGAGCATCACCAATATTTTTGTAATAAATGCAACCAACAAACATGATCATATTTTTCTAGCCAGCAGCTGTGAATATTTTTAGTTTTAGTTTTCATGAATTTGAGACTGACGGCATGTTTTCATACGTTAATGATGTTTTTGAGATTAGAATATCACAAATTAAAAGAGATTAAGTTCTTTCTTAAAATGAAATTATGGGGAAATATAGGCCATAAAATAGCATGCAACTCTTGATCAAATCAGGTTTGCAAGCATCCCTTATATTGTTGACCACTGTGCAGTAGTTGAACTGGATTTCCGCAATAGTCAGGCAAATAGAGTCACTTCAGAAAAACAAGTTTGTATGAAGTTATGTTTGCTTTGCATTGCTGGGTGTTCGATAAGCACTAGAAACAGCAAAACCATTTTTTAAACGTATAAAAGTAAGTGTTTGAAATCTGACAAACGCTTGCAAAAAAAGTTAGTCAAATCAAGGGCTTTTACTTTTCTGATTATATTTGTTGAAAATGCATGAACTCTTAGCAAGAAAACAAGCGGGAGGTTTTCATTCAGGCTCCATTCATGCTCGTTTTTTATCATCAAGGACGTGGTCAAAGTTTAAAAGCACCCCTGCTTCCCCAAAACAAACTTTATTTTGAACATCCACTCTCGTTTACTTTGGCACCCAAAGTTGGTTCATTGGAGTCATTTACGTAACAGAAGCCAGAATGTCTTTACATTGACCATGTGGTCAAGACTAAAGTACAGCATATATATACCCTCTGTCCGCATATTCTCTTCAGGATTTCAGGTTATTACTGTTCAGCATGCAGCTCTGCGCTACACTCACTGTTCTCGGGCTCCTGGTAATGGGGTCACGGGCGCAGGGGGTGATGCCCAGCATTAGCTTCCCTCCCTGCGATTCCCCGGAGGCTGAAGCAGCGGCTCTGGTGGCACAGGATTTCCTCAATGCTCAGCACACACACGGTTACAAATATGCCCTCAATCAAATTGACAAAATCAAGATCGTCTCCATGGTAAGATAACGGATGATCGTGAATAATGCTTGTGTGATGGTGGTTGTAACAGTCATGTGGTGTATGCAAATTAGTAACATTGGCTTTAAAAATGTAGATATGATATATGATTATTTCGTCCACTGAAATGGACGAAACGTAACATCCAGTTTATGGAATTTATACAGTATTTGTGATGTGCTTCTGAAAATGTACCATTGTGATCAAATTTGTTCTATAAACTAATGTTTTTATATCTACACAACTATTCAAAAAGGTTCTCTTTTACATAAATGTAGCAGATTTTACTACTGGTATAAATGGGGCTTTTAAGATTCAAATGTCTTTCTGAAGCCACTTCAAGCGGACGTGTATCATCTGGAGTTGGATTTGCTGGAAACTACGTGTCATGTCTTGGATCCAACGCCAGTGAGCCTTTGTCCAGTCAGACAAAACGTTAATACGGTGAGAACTAACTTTATTTGTATGCGTACTTTCGGAAATGTTATATTGCAACTAATTAAGTATCTTTCTGGTTCTCTTCTAGGCAGTTGAGGCAGATTGTGATTTTGTACTGGCAAGTACAACTCAAGGTCTGTCTGTTGTGGCATTCAAGTGTGAAACTGAGACAGGTAAGAGGACAAAAGAGCACTGTAAAACAAATGCGCTTGTCATCTGATCACAGAGAGATGTTTTTTTTGTTGTTGTTGTGTCTAGAATCAGCTGAATGCTTAGGCTGCCCTCAACTCATTCTTTTAAATGACACCGATGGCCTCCGACTCATTGAATCCTCTTTAGATTATTTCAATCAAAATAATACTCTAAACACAAAGTTTGCACTCCTTGAAATTGGACGCATAAGATCCCAGGTAATGTACATGGAGTACTACAAATTATCTTTAGACAATAAAGCTCGCAATAGACAATATGGTGCTGTTTTCTCCTTTTTTTGCAGATTGCCAGTGGTGGACCCAGGTACTTTGCAGAATATGCCATTATTGGGACAAACTGCACAAGTCAAGATGATGATATATGCATCCCTCAGAATCACACTGTTGCTGTAAGAAAATTTTAAAATCTTTGAGAGAGAGAGAGAGACTTTGGCTGGTTTGGCTTTGTGTGTCAAAGTCAACGTGAAACCAAATGACCCTATTTAATTTCTGAACTTTCCTGGTTTATTGTGCATACATTGGTGCTAAACCTTTGAAGCGACTTGACTTTTCAGATGATTTCACCAAACCCTCTTCATTTTTAAACCCCACCCCATCCAACTGCCTCTCTCCATTCTGCATGCCCGCTTTTCATGATCCAGTCAAATCCCACGCATAAAATCAAGTCTCGTCCTACATTTTTCCTGTTGAATATCCTCTTTTGCTCAGAAATAACATCAGATTACAGAAGCAAAATGGCTTGAACCGTCTTTCATGTTGACTTCAAAGTGTCTAATCCGTATTTGTGACTATTTTTAGATCCATGGCCTCTGTCTAGCTAAAGGTTCTGCCGATCTGAATGATGTTGACTGCAAAATCTTTGGCCCAGTAAATATCTCTTTATTATTTCACATTAACACAATGTGCACTTACAATGTAAAACACTGTAAATGCAACGACTGCCTTTAATCAATAATTTGATTTATATTAGAGACACAACCTGCAGTGGTAAGTTTATTGTATTTGTTCTTCATCAGAACTTAATTACTGATCAAAAATTTTTATCTAATAGTCTCATGACATAAATAACTGGGACAAGTTAAATGAATGCAAACAAAGATGTTGTTAAAACGTAATCATGTAGTGAAAGGGTAAATTTTTTACCTTTTTTCTGTGTGTGTATGACTGGCCCCAGTCATCCACCAAACAGACTGCATTTCCGTTTGGCACCATTATTGGCATAGAATAAGAATAAGGCATCCTTCACCTTTAAACCTTAAACTCTGATTAAGCTAAAGTTAGACACACTATACAACTTTATTAATTCCTTTATTCATGACAGACCCCAGCTGTGGATCCAGCAAGCAACGCCACAGTGCGAGTCCAACAACTTCTGCATGCACACACCTTTGGACCTCAGCACAACCCTGCCATCCACGGCCTCAAACATCACAAGCTGACAGCACTCCATGACCCCTCGGCCAGCGGTCTGCTCTCTGCAGAATCCTCTGAATCAGCCGAGGTGGTGATGGCACCAAAGGAAGCTCCTGTTGTAAAGAGGGAGGTCGCTGCAACAGAAGGGCCAGCAGTAGATGCAGCAGTGTCAGAAAAAACAGCTGTTCTTTCAGAGCCGATTTTCCTTGCTCCCATTTGTCCAGGAAAAAAGAAACATTTCTGACCTGGTCAAATTTCACGACCTTGTTCTGAGGTAGCCACCAAACTCATAAATGCAGTCGGTCAGGAGTAAATGTTTTATAACAAAGCAGGTACATGTAAAAAAAAAAACTGGCCTTCTTGTTAAGGAAGCAATAAAGGCTGTGCCTGTTACTATGGTGCTGTAATAAAATGCAAATGTTTAGGAGTCTGTGTTTAGTGCATTTTGTAATCAATAAGCAGTGTTTTCACCTTAAGGAATTGTGAAAATAGTTAGAAAGGTTTTAGAACAAAAAAATAATTCATAAGATCTCATTGAATATCCCACATTAGGAATGATCTCTTGATGAGGTCATACTCTCACAGGACGATGGCCATATCTTTATCACACTCTTCACAGAAATGGCTTTGAGGAAAAAGTCTGTTCATGAACACTGTATATTTTAAACACCCCTTCAATAGGCCTATACAACATTCAAATTATTAAACTAAAAATTGTCAAAAAGAAAAAAAACAGAGACATTCTCTAGTATTTATTTTAAATGCTGTATTTCCAATGCCATTGTGTATCACAGGTAATATACCCTAATACTGAGCCTATTCAAAACATAGTAACTCTTCGTTAAATGGTCATTTTACAATAAAAACAGCTAAACATTGTCAGATGTATGCGTCCATACCTCCGTTTGCAAGGCAAACGGCGGTATGGACGCATACATTCTTTTTCTGTAACTTGCTCATCTAAGAAAGTGACGTAGGGTTTCTGGTAGAAATGACCGAATATACAGACCACAGCTTTCACGTTTCTCAGCTGGAAGGAGAATAGGATTGTACATCGCCGATATAAACATTCAACCCACCCCCAACCTCTTAAACATGTTTCTTCTACGTCTCGTGTGACAACAAAAAAGGGTCTTTAAAGAAAAGCCAATAACAGTTTTTCCACTTAAACACTTTTATTGTAAGTTAGCACCGTTTCCAGCTCTCCACATTCCTCAGTGTGCAGTGGATGCATCCTTGTTCGATTGAACAGCAGGAACCCAGTGCGTCTCAAATAATTTTGGGCTCCTAAACACAGGAACCACAGATTCTCCATTTGGAGGGAAATACAGCTGAGGGCTCATTACTGGCACAGAGTTGTGAATCTGCATAAAGGGATGAAAATTCAGCAGCAGTGGAGGGTTCTTGCCACCACTTCGCTCTGGTTGAGGCGACTGATTTGACGGCTCAAATGGATTGTGATTATTGGATGGGTGAGGTAATGGCATCTGGGCGAGAGAGTCTTTTATGGGAGAATTAGACATAGGGGGCTTGGCGTTCAAATTAGCAGCTTGATACCAGTAATTCATAAATATATTTTTGCCATGAGTTGGAGGCATTGTAGGTTTTGAAGAAATGTCATGTTGGACCATTTTCTCAAAAGAGGGAACATTATTTGGAGCAACTAACATTGGCTGTGTGTCATGGCCCCAAGGGGAGAAAAACCGCTGTATCTCAGCCTGGTTAACTGCAGGGTCTGGGCTTTGGTCTGAATAAGCAAGCGGTTCAGCAGCTGGTCTATTTTGTAAGAGTCTATAATGCAGCTTAGAAGGTGCCAAAGGATGAATAACAAGAGCAACATTCGCAGGTTTCATTGTAGACCGTGGAGAGGCAGCAGTTGATTCCAACTTCCTAAAAATGTAGGGCCACATGGTTGGCCCTGTCAAATACTTTGAAGTACCAGGGGCATCGGTATCCTTAATTAGGGGATTCTCCACCAAATATTGCATTGCTGTATAATCGGATGCTGGTGGTACAGCTGTACGTTTTGAGGAAAGTGGGCCATACTTATAACCCATAGCCTGAATAAGGGAAAGAAGGGTTGAACCAGGAGATTCAACAGATGACGACAACATTTGGCCTTTAATTTTGGTCATACTAGAAACGTCAAGATTAGACATTTGAAGAGGATGACCAAAATGGTGATGGTTGTGGTAGAAAATTGAAGGGGCTCCAGGGCAGAAAGTTGGACAGTGAAAAGAATGTGCATGGGATGAACTAATTAGAGTCGAGGGAGCCTTTATTGGGGTAGGGGTGTGAACAACTTGAGGAAATTTGGGGAGTGAAGGGGTAGAATTAGTGCTTGGGGTTAAAGCAAAGTGTAAGTTCATAGGAGGACCCTTAACAACTGATTGGTATGGAAGCACAAAAGTTTGTGGTTGTACGGCTTGTTCAGACTCTTCTGAATATGTGGTTGAACTGGAAGTAACAGCCCCAGAGGTGGAAACTGTATTACTCTGCGGAACTTTTGTAAGAACGGGTGGCATTTCTGAACGATGTGGCAGGAAGGAGAGGAGTGGAGAGTGGAGGAGCTGCGGTCCTGTCTTTCTCGTAGGGGCAGGTATAGGTGCTTTAGACATTGGTTTTGGTGGAAAATGTGGTTCAGAGGGTCTTTGTTGGGTTTGGGAGTGATGAGGCAGGTAGGAGACTTGAGGAAAGACTGCTGAGGAGGGAGCGACAAATTCAGGTTTTCCAGGATATAAAGGATATACCATATTGCTGGGAGGAAACATAGGCGCCCACTGCAAAGGAGGGACAATGGGTGCGGTGAAAGTAAACTTATCTTGATGATTACCTGTGGGTTTTAGTAGGGGAGTGATAGGGGCTATAGAAGCCAACAAATGTTTTATTGGATAATGTGGCCCAGCTGCACTTTGATGACTGGGGTCACGCGTAAGACCCAAGCTGGGCTTAGGGTACCAAGGGTACCAAGTTCGAGGACGTTTTGCGTAAATAGGTGCTTGTGGCCTCTGGGTAATAGTAGTTGGGGGACCCACAATTTTGGGACCTTGAGGAAGAATCGTTGGTGGTATGTTTGGAGGAAACAAGAGAAAAGGGTAACTAGGACGAACAGGTTTATAATCTGTCTGGCCAGGGATGTAATAAGGGAAGGGAGGAGTAGCCAACTTTTGAATTGAACTTGTGGAAGTTGTTGAACTTGTTGTAGGAGCCTGCTTTGGCTGAGTGGTTTTAGTAGTTGTAGTAATTGTGGCGGGAGGGAGTGTTGTTGAAATCAGAGCATGAGGTACAGAAATGCATTCATTTTCACGTACAAGATCAGGTGCACTCATAGGAAGACCAAGCGACAGTGTGGGAGGGAGTGTTGTTGAAATCAGAGCATGAGGTACAGAAATGCATTCACTTTCACGTACAAGATCAGGTGCACTCATAGGAAGACCAAGCGACAGTGCTGGGCAGGACAGATTAAACTCGCTCTCCATTGCCATGCTGAGAGTGAACACCCCATCCTGTAAAGTAAGGCAAAAGCTTACTGTATTCAAGATGAGTGACAATGAAATTCAGGTAAAATGTAGAACATGTTGAATACCTTTGGCTCCGTGCATGGCATATATGGGGCATGGATGACCACACCTTCTGGATGTGACACCAAGCTGTATCCACATCTAGCCGACACTTTCAGAAGAGGCTGCCATTCATTCATTACTAGGTTTAAGCAGAATTAATCAAATTTAGACCTGTAAAGCTCACACCAACCTATGTAAACAAACATGAACCTTTGTGTTACCTTTGATCTTTAGGTTCTCGGAAACTCCTCTATGCAGCCTCACAATCATGCCATCACTGTAGCAGGAGACCATTGGCTTACTTTCTGCCGAGGTCAGTGAGGAACAAGACATTTTCACAGGCAATCCCCACCAAAGTAAAGGAAGAACAAAAGTGTCTCTCTGAAAACACAAGGGGGGGGGATGCTATAATCCACTTACATTCAAATATAAACACAAACCTCTTGTGATACGTAACATCCATTATATGGTACAACGAAAACAAAGTCTTTCCATGTTCTCAAAAATATATGGCCACATTCTGAGGGCAACTGTGCCAATGGAAGCGGTGGGATGCTTCCTACAGAAGAACAGAATTTTTTTTTTGGGGTGGAACATTTGAAGTGGAAAAAAAACAAAGTCAGTGGAGAAGCAAACCTCGATCAATAAGAAAGTTGGACCCAAAAGGAGCCTCTCGTCCATGAACTGTCAATTTCATCACATCTCCATCACAATCCACCTTGGGTTTCATTCCAAGTAGCCTTTCCACTGTTGGAGTAAACCGGGTGTTTAGACCATAAACCTGTTCCCAAAGAGGTTGCAACTTCATCCAGCCTATTAACAGAAGATACAGAAAATGTGAACAGAAAGACAACTCCACATTGGAATAGTTAACATGCTATTAAAAATGTAATCTCTTTGCAAGGATGTGCAAGAATCAAAGACGTTTTGAGCGACTAACAATACGGAATAACAACTACAAGTATTCATCTTGTTAGTGTTTAAAAACCACCTAATCTTTTATTGACTTAAATTAACACAAATGCATTCAGCAAATCACAGGGACATCTTTACCTGAATCATCTGACTGGTTTGCATTCTCATGGGGTTGACTGCAAGAACTGAAGTCCGAAGAAAACCTGACTCTACCACCACCACCACCACCATGTGATTTTGAAGCTTGGTCTTGCCAAATGAGAAGACGCCCAACCTGTGCTCCAGATTTCGGCTTCTGGTCCCCTCGATCAAATGACTCTCTTGTGCGTGCATTCTTATCAAAAGAGCCCGCTGAATCAAGACGTTTTTCCTCATTAAGTACCACAAAACCACTAATTTTAATAAAGGTAAGCCAAATAAACATACAACACGTCAGGATTGGTTTCTCTTTAAACGCCATTCGACAAGGCCGTTTTGCACACGCACCACGCCGCTGTAGTGTGTCGCAAACCCCGGCCTATCTCAAGCAGCCGAAATATACAAGATCTTACGTCTACAATTAGGGAACGTCTGGCAAATCAGAGGCACCTGTTAAAAAGCCTAGTGAGGGGAAAGAAGGGCTGTGCATGAGTGTGTGTGTGACTTGACTACCAGTCAAGTTTTAGACTGTATGATTTTTATATTTTTAATGTTTTTGAAGTAGTGTCTTCTGCTGACCGGGGGCCCATTCATCGTACGTCGAGATGATATAATCGCGCTCATCAGGATCGCACCTGTTGTTGATGATTAGTATGGCTGGATTGAGTTATATGAGATAATTGAGCGTTCATGGGCTAGTTTAAAAGGGGCTATGTATTGATACTCGAAACCACGATCAGCAATGCAGCGATTGGCTGGCAGCATATAAACGTTATAATAGATCAATTAAATATGCACTCTTTATATTTTTGATACGATTGCCAATTATTTATATTCACGATTTCTGATATTTGCACAGGCTTTACATTTTTATTTCAATGTAGTAATTAGCAATTCATTTAATTTGATATTTGAACAGATTTGTTACGTGACCGTATTATTTAAAGTTTCTTAAGGGTCAAAATCAAGCCCCTCCCATAATATCTGTCAGCACTCAAATTAATGCACGACTCTAGATTATCTGTATAGCATGTGTGTAAGACTCGAATACAATTAGGAAGTAATCATTTTATGACGAATAAATCTCCCAGTGAGTAAAACTGTCTGTGTCTATAGTATTAAAGACTACACAACATTATTATCTAATCTTTAAATTAATTTTTAAATGATTATTTTAAATTATTGTCCCTGGATTAGTAGGGTACTCTTGCAATGTGAGCCAAAATCATCACAATTAAAAGAACCAAAGACTTAAACTACTTCAGTCTGTGTGCATTGAATTTATTTAATACACGAGTTTCACAATTTGAGTTGAATTATTGAAATAAATGAACTTTTCCACGACATTCTAATTTATTGAGATGCACCTGTAAGTCTATATTCTTTTCGTATAGTCTATATAATGTAGGCCTACATATGTTTGCCGGTTTTAAAACTAGATGGCATCCTCAAATGTCAAATTAGATGTTGTGACGTGTAATGCATACTCAGTCTTTACATCAGATAAGCTCATTTTACCAGCAAGAAGATTAAAGAGTCATCTGAGGTGGTGCATGTTTGTGATTATAGCGACCCCTTCAGGCTTACCCATGTCAATGACAACTAATGAGCTTATTAGTGAGTACTGAAATCAAAATGATATTCTTTAATACCAACATGGAAGTTCACATACTGAAAACTGCTTAGAAACAAAATATTTTCTGATTACCTACCATGCCCTACACTGTCGTTTGTAGATTTCATTTTCTTCAAATTGATAGGAAGATGCTTGAAGACAAACGAGTGACCAAAATCAATTTTCTGGTTGGAATAGGTTTATTTGATCTGTCTGTAAACAAGGTGGTTAAATCATGGCATTTTTTTTCTTTCCTTCCACGCATATTGAGTTGAATATCAGCTGGTCAGATGTAAGAAGGGAGAGAACTGGACATAATTTTATCTTTTCTTTAATCTGTACATTTTCCACATGCCCTGGAGGTTGAATTGATGCCAAATATCCTAAAGGTGCCACTGAAGAATTGACTCCTCTCACAGGGCAGCAGTTAAAATCCATCTCACAGTAGCAACAGATCAGATCTACATTATGGCACAGGATACACAGCTTTATTTAACAAGTTTCCACAATACAACTGACTTCAACTAGTGGTCTTTTTCCAACTAATACCACCATATCCCAGAAAAAGTTAGTGTACACAGTTTACTTCAGTATCTTTTTTTTTGTTTTTTGTCTATTTAATGAAGCATTTGTACCGTGCTATGACAGTTTGATACATCGCAATTAAGTAGTTTACAAGGCAATGACTTCCAAATGGTTTCATTCTTGAAAATAACAAGATTAAAAGTCAAAAATGTTTAAGAATTTTGATGTGACGTTAACAACAAGACTGCCATCTCATCTATTCAAGACATTCATGAGAGGAATTCTCAGGTAGTTATATATTTGGTTTTTAATTTCAAACTGTTAAGCCAGTAATAGTGTTTAATACAAATGAGCTTGGTGTAACATTGTGTATTTAAAGTGTTGAAAATTTAGTGTTATAAAGTCGGCAACAGATGAAGCTAGCAGTCATCCTTCACAACAACGGTTTGGAGCAATTCTGTTAATCCCACCAGATGCAACAACAAAATTGGTCCTATTAGAGAACCCAAAGTGAAATGGACAGAACTAGAGGTACATTGGGATGGCAGCACTTTTTGTCTTAAAAAATAAAAAGACAAACAAAAGGAAAAACATTTTACAGGAGCTGGCAAACAATTATAAGTGCCTGAGCTATTGTAGCGATGGAATGTCCATACAGTCCGGGATGCAAAGGCTCTTGGGGAACAACTTAACCCAAACCTTGTATATGCTGATCTGCCACCACATTCAGAATATTCCAACATTAGACCAATGACTTACAAGACCACATCCAAATACTACAGCAAAAGCATTTGATATAAGGTTCTCAAACTAAAGAAGGTACAGGGCATATAATAGTAGCTGGGGCAAAGGTGGTGCAGTTCATGAGGGCAGGGCCAGAGGTGCTTACTAAATTAATTCAGGATCAAACCAAGAAAAGAACAGAAAAACAATAATAAGAAAAATAAAATAAAGTGTTACATGACTGGTTATCTTCATTCTCAAAGCTGAGACAAGGTGGTGTAGTTAGTTACTGGAAAACGATGATATTGACCTAAAAGATATGCATGCACTTTTTCCATCCTGGACATGCTGTATACAAGGAAGACCATGAGAGCTCAACAAGGGCTCAAAGCACTTGAGAGGCATCAATCTATCTTAAGCTGGTTCATTAGCAGTGCCTAAGGAAAACAAATTGGACAATGTAGTGACTTTACACAAATTCTGGGTCATCCAATTTTTTTTTTTTTATCTTCATTTTTTACATCTATGGTATGTACAGTAGTGTTTGTGATTGAACCTTCATAAAACCAACATGCTTGATTTACTGTGGCACAAAAAAAGATGTCAAAACTGGGAAAACTAAAGGACATGGAGCATTAAACAAAACGAGAACTTCATAAAAAAAAATGGACAGATACAATTTGGAGAAAGACAACGATGCATCTACTAACTGTTTCTGGTAGTGCAGTCAAGTTGACAAAAAGGGGGCGAGGATGAGGGTAGGGGTGGGTAGTGTGGTGCGGTGTATTAAAGTGAGCTGCTGTGTGGATGGATGGGAAGGGGCTGCTTTAGTATCCAACTTTCCTCAGGTACTCAGCCATGCCAAATGCTTTCTTGTTGAGCAATCCTCCGTGGGTACCTTCCTTTCCCATGACTATAACCAACACTGGAGTACATAAGGAAAGAAAAGAGATGACAAATGAACAAAACTGAAAAAAAAGAAAAGAAAAGAAAAAAAGTCTTTCCCCCCGATGACACGGGGACATTATCACCATTCTTCCCTTGATTGCTATTAAATTTTTTCAAGACATTAACTGCTTGAAGGAGAAAGCTTAACAGCAAACTTCTTTCTTCTTTCTGTCCCTCAAGTGAAACTAAACAAGCTTAATTACATTAGAACCCTGAATCCCTCAAGTATTTTGCCATTGAGTATGCCTTCTTATTCAATCCGCCTCCATGGACCCCTTCTTTGCCCATTACAAGAACCAAGACTGAAAGAGAAGAAATAGAGAAGGGGAAAGTTGAGAAGTGCTGTGGTTAAGGAAAAAAAGGGAACAGTCATGAAACAGAGGAGAAAGAGAATCACAATTGCGATCAGAAGCTTTTGCATGCACATGCGCTTCACCATTAAAAGCAACCAAGTAGAAGAACGTTATTCAGAGTATTTGACAGGGAGGTCTGAAGCTGGCTGCTTGAGCTTTGTAGTGACATATTTTAGTGTACAGGAAAGAGGAAATAGGAAGGGGAATTTGACGCTGCCACATTCCAGAAGACCTTCGACTCACCCCACACCCTAAATCCCTTCGAAACGGAGTTACCTTGCTACGACATCTCTGAGAGACTTTCGTAGGACCACACTGACACTACGTTGTCTATTGAATGTGTGCCAAAACACACTGGGTGTAATACAAGCAACCCAACTTTGGTTATGAATACAAGATCTTTAAAACTCACCACCGGGATTGCGCAAATAATCAACGTCTACTTGATTTATCTAACATGGATAATAGGGTGTGGAGGGGTGTTTACCGCACAACCGGATGATTGATAGCTCCGGCCCGAATTCTTTAAACAATAGGCGCGTTTCCATTACAGATTTGCGCAAAACTTTGGCGATATTTTCTGAATGTCGATAAAAAAGTATTGCGAAATGACGGCGTTTCCTTTGACGCGTTTCCACTAGGCGTATTTTCAATTCGCAATTTGCGCAATTTGAAGGGTAATGGAAACGCGCCTAGTGATAGGGAGAAGAAAAATCTCACACGCATTAGATCAAGAAAAGCTTGTACATGCACAGCGCTGAAATCCAGCACTTGGGTGATTTTCAGAAAGGAGGAGTGCGGGACAGAAGATTGCACTGGCTTTAAACTATACCTTCCTTACATTCAAAAAGAGGACCACAAAGGCAGACTGTATGAGTGGGCACATCTTAGCATCAAGGGTCATTTTCCTAAATTTGCTATGAAAAAAACGATTAGTGAAAAAATCGTAAGGAGTTAAGACGTTTCCCAGAGCTACTCTATACTAATACTTGTTCTGAGCAGACACGGATACCTAATATAATGAATGAATAAAATCATCAAGTGCTTGTCGGGGGGGGGATTTGAATATATTTGTGCACTCAATTGAACATATTACACGTATAGTTTACCTTTGCCAGCTCTGCCTATGGAAACATTGTATGTCGGCTCTCCATTATGACTCTTTGTCCTGATGTCCATTGTCCAGTCCCCTTCCACATGAAGGCTGTCTCTGATCACAG